CACAACGACGACAACGACGACAACCACAACGACGACTACACCAACAACAATAACAAAAACAATACAAAAAACAACAACAACAACAACAACAACAACAACAACAACAACAACAACCACAACGACGACAACAACACCAACACCAACGCCAACACCAACACCAACATCAACACCACCACCACCACCACCACCACCACCACCACCACCAACAACAACAACAACAACAACAACAACAACAACAACACGACGACCACAACAACATCAGCAGCAACGAGGAGAGATAAGAGAGACAGAGACGAACAGAGAGAGAGAGAGAACACGGCAAAATCATCCTCCGTACTACATACTAGCTTCTTAACATGATCTTTTCCAGTTCTGACTCTACCACGGTAATGATGATAAACAATTGTGCACGTTCCCCGCTGGCCCGCATTTATTACCACATACTGTTGCATGAACTGACCGCCACCTTCGAGGTCAATATAAAATAGAGTCTGCACTGGCGCCCCCTTACAGACCCAAAACAGTCCTATTCCAAATTCCAAGGCCCGCATCTTAGTCTTATGTTCTTCGGATGGTCCTGGGCATGGCTTCTGTTCAATAGTCTTTCATTCTGCGTGTGGAGGCGAAGGTGAAGTTTGTATGCAGAATTCCCGGAGCATGTTCTCGTAGTCTGCTATTCCTCGCTCCCCACACAGCAACGCACAGTAATGTCAGTGTCTCGCACTATTTGCGTGGCAGCAACAGCCTTTCTTAGCAATAGGCATCAAGGCCTCAGCATATGCGATGTAAATGATGGAGGTGGCCTACACCAACACCCAACGCGCTGCACAAAACACGGCAGGCACCATCGTCTCAGGCCACACATAAACATACATAAACTGTCATAAACTATGCACTCCCTCCCGCACGTCCGCTGAGTTAACATGAAGGTAATCATTTCAAGACACGTTCGCCCAGTGATCCAAGTGGAGGAGCATCTCCAACACATAAAGCCTTGGTGCTCGATTTCATTGCCTTGTTTCGCGGGCAGGTAGGTAGACAGACAGATTCCCCAATCTGCCTGCTGAGTAACAGAAAAATATGACTAGATGCACACCAACTCATAGGCTCGCTCAACAGCTGCCATTCTGCTCTGCAAGCAGCTTGTTCGGATCTCGCGAGAAAGCCCAGAACAGCGCACAACTCCACAACTCGAAGAGACAAACCAGCAGCGTAGCATAAAGCCTTGGTTCAGCAATGGCTTTCGGATATGAGGTCTGATGGGTAGCTTCTTGCTTGATTTGTCTTGACCACGGTCTCTATGGCTCTATGGTGGCCATGACTGGTGTAAAGATTGCTTTCAAAGTCGCTTACAGTCGTAGTAACATATACTCTTAGCTTTGCAGCATTGATGGTTGTACTGCACCACGTTATTCGTGACTCCTGTCACTCCAACATCTGCACGGCCACCGCTAGCATGAGCCGAACTGCAAGGAGTCGCAATGATTCAAGTGCAGACCTGCACTGACAAGGTGCAGTTAGCTGAAATCATTCAAGGATGTCTTCAGGAGTCGAAGTATGTATGCATCAACTGGCAGCAGACAAAAGCACGCAATAGATGCAAAGAGCCGGCGAAAGCCTGTACTGCAGCAAGCCGCGTATGGCTCATGGGAGCCACCTCAAAACACGTCCACACAGGCCTCTGGAAGTGTTTGCCAATCTCCTACGCCCTATACACCCTACCCATAGGCCCCATAGTAGTTCCTTTTTGTGGCTTCTATTTAGGATCCTATTAGGTAATCCCAAACAGGAACTACTATGGAGCCTATGGGTAAGCCCCGAACCGAGAGGCCATATCTGTCGCGCCATAGGCGAGGCGAGGAAGCATGAGCCAATGTAGGTAACCTTGCGAAGACTTCAGGGTTTAGGGTTTAGGGTTTAGGGTTCACTGCTAAGGCTAGGGCAAGCCAGGTCGGGACTTGCGATCGCAGAAGTATGCTATACCATCCTATACTATACACTACATCCGCCGACCCCCTGAGCGGCGCCAGTGAAATAAACATAGATATGTATATATATATATATCATAGTTATCTATTTACCGGTACATACCATACAGTAGGACCATAACTAGTATACTTCGTGGCGGTGGCTTCACAAGCAGCCAACAGATATGTTTCTACGTCTGCAAGCAGAGCAGCTGCTCGGACGGGCATCATCAGAATGCGGATCATCAGCTGGTTACCTGCAGACATGCATCATGGATTTAGGGGTTTAGGGATTTAGGGGTTTAGGGCGTTTTGAGGGAGAGGGAACCGGGTGTTGAATGTTGAATCTTGCGCAGCAACGCGTGTGGAATGCTTCTATGCCTGGAGCACTTGATGGCTTCGGGCTTCGGAGTTTAGGGCTTAGGGTTTAGAGTTTAGGGCTGATATAGGGTTTAGGGTTTAGGGCTTATATAGGGTAAGAGGAGAACCAGGAAGATGGCTTGTCTTCACCCAGTTGTCCAGACCTTTGAAGCTGTGACCTTACTCTTGTCACATGTCCCATCCTGGACGAAGGGGGGCTCTGGCCCCTAAACCCTTTCTCCTGACCCTAAACCCCAACCTCCGCAACACCCCTGAAACCTGCACCCCTTTCAACCCCAAGCCCTACACAACCCTGCCCCCCAAAAAAATGGGCAAAGGGGGGGTCTGGGGTGGGGCGTGTAAGTTTCAGGTTTCGGGCTGGGGTTTGTTGTTTCTCTTCTGTTTCTCTATCACTTCCTTATCTCTTTCATTTCATTCATATCCCTCGCCTCATCCATTCATCCACCTCTTTCATTTCATTCATATCCCTCGCCTCATCCATTCATCCACCTCTTTCATTTCATTCATATCCCTCGCCTCATCCATTCACCCACCTCTTTCATTTCATTCATATCCCTCGCCTAATCCATTCATCCACCTCATCCACTCCCCCACCTCATTCACTCCCCATTACATCGCCCATTCATCCATTTTTGAATGACTTCTTACCCTATTCATTTCTTTCTCAAACTCCCAAAACCAATCCGCTGGACTATGACGACATCGTCAAGTTCTTGAAGGTGCGCTTTGCATGTTTATGCCAGTGAGTGTGCATTTGTCATTGAATTGAGAAACCTTACTATTTTTTGAAGCCTCCTTTGCTCAACATCTTAGCACGCTCATAGACTTTGCTCACAATGGTGGTTGCATTCTTCCGTCTCCCCAACGGTGCGGTGCATTCGTTGGAAGTTCATGCGGGGCAAACGGTGGAAGTCAAGAACATCCCTGCCATGGACTTGCTCACACCATCAGTTGAGCAGTTGTCCAACATGACGAAGCCTCAACTTGAGAACATGACGAGTGAGTATGGGATTGACATTCCCAAGAAGAGCACCAAGTTGCAAATCATTGAGGCTCTCCGCAATGATTGGCAGTCAATAGTAATGCCAACTTTGCGGTTGCGACCTACTTTGCTTGAGATGTTGGGGGGTGGTTGCAACAGCGATGATGATGACACCAGTGAGAGTGAGGCAGAACTTCCTTCAGGAAGTGGTGCTAAGATTATTGAGGAGGACGAAGTAGAAGTAATCCCCATTGATGAGATGACCCTTGGAAGTGGCAGTTTGAGAACCTTGGTGCAAGTCCCCCTCAAGAAGACGGTGAAGACATTCTTCTTCTACCACGAGCCTCATTCGACATCGGCAGACTTGCTGGAGTGCTTGAGTGCATCAAATGATGGTGCAATCAACCCAAAAAATGCCACTGTCAAGGTCATTGGCGTTCAGTCCGAAGTTCCTCTCTACGAGACAATCGTAAGCCTTCATGCTCAGGATGGATTGTATGTTCTACCAAAGCTTCAGGGTGGAGGACTTTTCCGTGAAACGAAAAAGATGCACCTCAAAAAGTCGAATGCCCTTGACTTTATGAAGAGCAAGTTTCGTCAGCAAATCATCACCACCGAAGCCCACGATGAGAACTTTGTGGGGTCAGGTTCTGATGAGATGGGTGCCTTTATCAACGCTCACCGCCAGATGTTGAACGAAGTCCGTATGCTAAAGGCGAGTGGAGGGCAGGTCTTCAGCGTTGCTATCCGACGCCTACGCTTGGACGAGTTGAACCTCATTAAGTCCATGATGGAGGAGACAGGACGCAAAAAAGGTTTCGGAAGACCGTTTGCTGCGCATCGTTGATGCCATCTACCCGCCCCTGCAGTCCTTGAACAGTGCCATGCGCTCCATCAACAGGCTTTCGCAGGAGATGAAAGCAGAGGTTTGCGGTTTCTTTGCGGACGAGTTTGGTGAGTTCGCGGAGGGTTCAATTCGTTTGAACAACATGGCTTTCAAAAGGCTTGTGAAGATTGAGATTGCAAAGCGTCAGGACACACAGCAGGGTGTCCGAAACTCTGAAGAAGATGTGCCAAATTGCGCCATCTGCAGATTTTCACCTTTTCCTGTGTTTCGCCATAGAAGAGCCCACACCTCTAAGGCAGGGTCTCACTTCCCCCGTAAAATCGGCACTTCTCCCCCGTAAAATCGGCACTTCTCCCCCGTAAAATCGGCACATTTCCCCCTTGGAGGGGGCACTATGGCAAATGACAGGGTCTGGCAGAAACCTTCGCTTCGCTTGTGCAGTGGGAAGTGAAAGGTTGCTGTTTGTGGCACATTCTTTCCCAAACACATATGAAATAAGAATAAAGCCTAATTTCTTCGTGGCAGGTGGAACGACTACAACAACGACACTCTCGCAGAGAAGTTCAAAGCAACGGTGCGACCTCCTCACGCTGGGCTTTCAGGGTTGTTGTGGTTTAGTGTTCAGGGTTTTTGTTTCAGGGTTGTTGTGGTTTAGTGTTCAGGGTTGTTGTGGCTTGGTTTAGGTAGGTCTGCTTTTTTAAAAAAAGGAGCGCACCCCATCTTTTTTTGATTGTTATTTTTTTTCGTGTCTCGTGTTTCCCCTTTCGTAAAAAAAGCGCTCCTTTTTTCACTAATTTTATTTTTTGGGGATGGTTTAGTAATTTGGTTATTTACTGCGCTACGCGCTCCCAGCCTTTCCCTGTGGTTGGTTGATGCTCTTGTTTTATAATGCTCTTGATTTATGCATCATTTTGTCAAACAAACCTCAAGAATTTCTCTATGAAGTTCAAGAAATTTTCTATGAAGATTGGACAACAAGTTTGTCCAATAAAGATC